AGAATTTTTTTTTAAATACATATGAGGGTTCAGTTGCAGTGCAGATAGAAAGGCCCAGTTGTCTTTAGAGTGTGATAACAAGCAGATGGTGAGGACCCATGGGCTGAGGGGCCCAGTGATTCAGAGGGTTCCTCGACAGGGTAGAGATGATGTGACTTCTTACAGATGAAGCCCATTGAACTCAGACACATCCCCATCCCACCCTCAGTCTGAATGACAGTCCTGGATTTGTGACAAATGGCAGTTTTGAAGCTGACAGTGGAATGCCTACATCACCCGAATTGTAGATTTTGTGGATAAGCTTTGTCTTTTGAGTTTCATTGTAAGATATTTATGGAAATAAACCATGTCCTGTACCTTGAGTGGTAGGCTTTAGATCTCAAAAAGACCTGAGACGTCATCAAGTCTCAACCTCATTTTACAGATAGCTTCGTATATTTTGTATCTTGCACAGTCGACAGTACAAGTAAATGGAACAAAACCAAGTGAAGATCAAAAAATCATTATAAACAATAAAGGCATTAAGCACCTATGTATAAGGTGTTCAGCTGGACACCATAGAAAGGCAGATAAATATGATACAGATTATGCTCTCTTTTAAAATTTTACAAGCTAATAAGGAAGAAAATACATATATACAAATAACCACAGTATAAAGGAGAATGTGTTAGGTACAAAGATGGCATCTAGGCAGAGTTCCACAAGAAATTTGAGAGGTAGAGAGAAGTTGGGCGATGGGAAGCTGGTGAGCAGGGAAAACTTTATAAGAGGAGTCAGATGCCTAATCTGAGTTTTGAAGGAAGGGAGGACTTTCAACAGGCTAGGTAATGGCAGGGTGAGAAGTTTATTCCAGGTATAGGGGAATGCATGAGCAAAGGTATGGGGAGACAGAGAACACAGAATGGGAACCAAGAGTAGTTCAGTTTGGAATTGGAAGACAAATTAGTATGCAGAGCACATCCCTTCCCCACTCTTTTTTCTTTAGTTATGTCCCTAGATTGTTATATGGTAGTTTATTTGGATAGGGATTGGGAGGTTTTGGTGTATATCTCTGTTGGATTGTTTCAGTGGTTGACTATTTGAGAGGTATGTATGTATTCACTGGGGACAGAGGAGGGAATGTTAATGAAACTGGTTGGTAAAACAAAAGGTGAAAAGCTCAGATTTTCTCTCTTGCCTTCTTCATTGCAAAAAATACTGTCAAATATTCATGTTAGGAAACAACCATTGCACAACCAGAAGGAATTGTAGTACGAGATTATTCTAGAGAATTCATTATGATCCAAGTCCATAAAATACTGTTATTATGAGCATCTACCAGATGTGTAGAAATAATTTGTTTTTGTTTTTGTTTTTTAACATACAGCCCCTTCTTTGTAATGTTATTTGTTCAAATGGAATATAACATAACCTTGTCTCTTTGGGTGTTTTCTAGGGCACCATACTTGCTTCTCTTGTAAGGTTCCTGGTAAAGATGTGAAGCGTTGTTCTGTCACTGCCTGTGGTAAATTTTACCATGAGACCTGTGTCCGAGAATTTGCTACTGCTGTCTTTGAGTCCAGAGGATTCCGCTGTCCTCAGCACTGCTGCTCCACTTGTTCCATGGAGAAAGATATCCACAAAGCAAGCAAAGGTGAAGCAAAGTTAATGGAAACGAGAACCTGTAAACACAATCTCTTTGTATAACCCTCTGTTATCTGGGGCACAGAGGACATAGGTTGTATTTGGGGTGTAGAGTTCATATTTGGGAAATCCTTTTGTGCTTTCACAAATCCTGCTTATTTTGCTTACTGAACTTATTAAGTACTTATTAAGTACCCTTTAAGCTACATGGGCTGTGTTAAGCATTGGGGAGCCTCAAGGAGCTTACTTTCTATTATGAGAGATGAACATGTACCTTTATAAGTGTATACAAAGTAAACGCAAGGGGAAGAACTGGGAACTGGGAACATCATGAGAGGATTCATATAGAAGTTTTCCACGAGCTGTGTCTCAAAGGAATTAAAGGTTAATAAGAGGTAGAGATGAAGTGTTCCAGACATGGGGAATAGCCAGTGCAAAGGCATGGAAATAGTAGATGGAGTGTTGTGTGTGAGCATGAGCAAGCAGGCCAACTGGGATGCATTGAAGACTGAGGAGCGTAATATAGAGAAAAGCTGGGAAGTGGGTGGAGCCTAGGAGTTTCTAGTGATCCTCCTTGGATATAACAGAGAGCCACTGTTTTTACTGGGTAGAGATGTGATGGTCAGACCTGAGCTGTGAGGGAAAACACTCTGGCAACTCTATATAGAATAGATTGTAGAGGAAAGAGTTGTGGCAGTTAGGTCAATTAAGAAGCTGTTATAATAGCCTATGCAGGAGGCCATGAAGTCTGAAATAGGGTAGTAGCCTTATATAAGTAAAGAGAAGGGAAAGGATAGAGATTTAGTGGAGTTAGAAATGGTGAGATTTGGCAACTGACTAGATACATGATACAAGGCATAAAGAAGTTGAGGTTGATATCAAGATTGTAAAACTGTGACTGGGGGAATAATAGTGTCCTCAGTAGCAACAGAGAGGTTCAGAAGAGGATTGAGTTTGGGGGGAAAAATAGTAAGTTTTGTGTTGGACACGTTCAATAAAAGGCTGGTAAGACATCCATGTGGAGATAAATAGCATACAGTTAGAGATGTGAGACTGGAGCTCAAGAGAAAAACTAGAGTTAAATGTGTAGATCTGGGAGTCATATGCCTACAGATGACAAATAAACCCATGAGAACTTACAGGGAGGGAGGGAAAGGAGGAAGAAAGAGAGAGAGAGATTAGAGGATAACCAAGAGAAATAGTGCCATAACAACCCGGTCAGGAGAGAACATAGAGTGTCAGATGCTGTAGAGAATTGAAGAAGGGTGAAGGATTGAGAAAAGGCCATTGGATTTGGCAATTAAGAAATCATTGGAACATTGGAGAGAGCAGTTTCATTTGAGTGACATTGGAAACCACAAATCTGGTAGAATATGCTTCTGCTGTGTCATTCCATAATATGCCTATTCTCCACTTCTGAATAAGGAGTGTCTCCCTCTGTCATTCGGGGTGCCCACAGAACTTTTTTGTTCTGTAAATACTAACAAAGAAGCTCAAGAGTTCCCTGCCTAGTTTGGCCATTGGTAACAACTACTTCTTGCCAAACACACAGCTCTAGCAACAAGGTGGTAAACTGGGGATATCCTGTGGCTTAGGCTTAATTTCTGCCTGTAGCACCTACCCTGTGGATTATACAATAAAATTCAGTTGTAGTGGAGCTCTTTGCAGAATGACTCTTCCCTTGTTTCAGGGGATCAGGAACACCACTTTGATTTTCAGATGAAGTGATTATTATCTTACCCCAGCCCTATGACCTTCTTATAATTAGGTTAGAGTAAAAAGTCCCTTTCCCAAAAGATTGCTCCTTATTGGTCATTTTCAATTTACTTTCCATAGGCTGTATCTTCAGTTTCAAAAGCAGTCATGTCCTGCAGCAGTTTTCATAAAATGATTGGTTAAGACTTGGAACATTTCGTTTGCCTAAGCAATAATACGTTCAGACCTTAGGAAAAGTTCAGTAGGGAATGATTTCTAGTAATTCCTCTTTCTGTTCATCTACCCTTTTACTAACTCATATAACAACAAGCAAACTGTTTTATGACCCTCTTACATCTGTAAAGAAATTTAATTTCATCACCGATTCTAGAACACATTCTTGTTATCAAAGTTGTCATAACATTCTAAAGACATGTTTTGAAAAAGTCAGTAAAGTAAAAACATGTCAAAATAGCCAAAATATGTGAAACTTGACTGTTCATTCAAGTGTCTACTTTTACATTATGAGTCCTCTTCTTTTCAGTTTTCCAGCTCTTCTTAGGTTATCCACACATAGAATTGTTCGTATGGGAGGTACCTGTACCATGTGTGTTTCACAGAATTAATTGGTATACTTTAAGGACAGGCTAATAAAAACAGCTATTTTTTATCTGAATTTAGTAAAAATTCTGTGGTTAGACTAGGTAAGTTACTTCATAGGAGCCTTATCATCCAAGTTGTCTTATAAAATTTTTCTCTCTTTGTATTTCTTTTTTAATCAGGTCGCATGATGAGGTGTTTAAGATGCCCAATTGCCTATCATTCAGGAGATGGCTGCGTAGCTGCAGGAAGTCTGTTTGTGTCCTCCTATGTTCTCATCTGTAGTAATCATTCCAAGAGGAGCAGTCATTCTTCCTCCACTATAAATGTAGGCTTTTGTTTCGTTTGCGCAAGAGGTGAGCACTAACATGGTTACTTTTCTTTCTCAGTTGATGCTACTGGTATATTTGTCTTTTAAAATCATCTTTGAGCTGGAAGTGACCATAGAGATCGTTCAGGCTAACCTCACAAATTATGTACGAATTCCTTTTGTAATATCTCTGACACATGGTAGTTTAGACTCTGTCATTTCCTATAATAGGAACTTCTGCCTCATGAAGTTAGAGATTCCAGTTTTGGTCAAGCCACATTGTTATAAAGCTCTTCCATACATTGAGCTGAAATCTACTGTCTTATATTAATTGGTCTAAGTTCTTTCCTCTAGGGCAATACAAAATAAACCTAATTTCTTGTCTACCTGGTAGCCCTTCATATAGTAAGTTTCTTTTTACCTGGAACCCTATGGTTATAAAATTTTCATTTGGAAGTCAAGACTAGTAAATTTGTTTTTAGTTACTTGTATTGTTTCATTGTATTGTTTTGGTCCATCATTGAGGCCTTATGGAACCTAGCCAAGGCAGCAAATGTGGTACTAGTTAAGATCGAGTACTGCAAGCTTTCTCAGTTTTCAGCTATTTAAGTCTAAATATGCCAAGAGATTATATTGCCCTTTTTATTAACTTGGAAGCAATGCATCATCTTCTAGGTGATGAATTTGACCGTTTTCAGTTGGCTATGGTATGGGGACATCCAGCTGCAATATTTGTTATACTATATAATACTTGTAAAGAGTAAATACATTAGGAATCAACAAATGCTAATTGTCCAGAGAAGTTTTTTAATGCCAGGTGACACTTTTGTTTTTTCCTTAACTTTCCTTAGTTAATGAAGTGTATGTGAGGGTTTTAACTGTTATCAGACCTGTTAATCTCTTAGAATCTTTATAGAAAGTTAATACTTTTCTTTTTTTGCACCCAGGTGATCTTTTATTTTGGTTAATGTATGTTGTTTTGTTTTCTACCAGACCTGTGATTTCAGTGGTGTTGGAAAGTCCTGGTTAGGAAATTCCTTCTATGAATGCAGATATACATCTGCTCTACAGCTTAGAGCCTTTGAGATTTTAAGAGGTTAAATAACTTGCTTAGGGTCATGTAATGTGTATCAGGAGGAACTTGAACTCAGGTCTTCCTAACTCTAGATCAGCTTATAGGCTCATAGATCTTGACTTGGAGTTGAGGTCATCAGATCCAACCTTCTCATTTTATAGATGAGGAAACTGAGGCCCAGGACAATTAAGTAACTTGCCTGTAGTCACACAGACAATTAGTAGCAGAGCTAGTAATCTAAATCCCATATCCTTTCCACTGTATCACTACACTGTCGCCTCTAACCTACAATAGAAAAAAAAAAGACATTTTTACCAAAATGTTTGTGCACACGTGTGTTGGTGCATGTGTGTGTGAGTGTGTGTGTGTGTATCGTGTGATGAGAACTCTAATCAGGCTTGCTTTTGTGGTTATCTTTGCTTTAAACAATTTAGGAAAGGTCATCCATAAGTAGAAGAAATTATGTACTGTGTCCAGAGTTATTCTTTTTGCCATTTGGGTAGTAGCAAATTCAATGCCTTTGTACACTCTCTTCTTAATGTGACAGAGCTTTGTGACTCTCTTTAAAGTATGTGGGCTACAGTGTGCCTACCATTAGAAGAAGAAACATAGTGTACTACTTTACTACTTCAAGGACAAGTGGATATTACAGCAAAACATTGCTTAGCGAAACAAAGAATATACACTAAAAATTTGTGGTAAGAATTTTATTTGCCCCATATTGTAGCATTAAAAAAATTTTTTGATCTGGCAGAAAAGATAGATAAGCACAAAAATATGTTCTTGTTTTTCTTCCTACTCTCCCCCTCTCCACTCAGTGAACCTTACAAGAAAATAACTTATCATAAAATGCTTAACTTTAGAGAATTTTAAAGCAACATATTTGTGGCAGTGATAAAATTTCATTATCTCCCGTAATGAATCTATTTACTGCTTTCTGGAGGATATCCTAAAAGATCAGCATTCCCAGCAACTTAATTTAACTGACAGTGCATGAGCCTCCACCCCAATATATCTACATCAGACATTTTGCAGCTAAAGTTTGTAACTGCTATATTCTTTTATTTTGGGGGTCTATTTTGTATTGGTACTTTTGTACTCTGGTATATTAGCTAAAACTTGTTGTTCGTGGAGGTTTTATTTGATAATTGGTAGAGGGCCATCATTTACTTTGAAATAATTTTCAAGCATACCAAATTTAAGGGCATGGGGACAATTTGGAAATAGTTTTAGGACTCTTTATAGTGATTTAGTGTGGAGTATTGTATTTTGGGCTTTTGTATTTTATACAAATTAGATCACTCAGTTAACTCTGACTAATCACAATGACAGTATATTTATGGGAAATATGAAGGTAACCTCCTAGAGCCAAGGCATATTTGCATCTTTTATGTTTGCATCATAAAGAATCTAACACAGTGCTTAGCATTTTGTTTTGCAAGATTTGTTGTTTTGACTTTTAGTTGTTCTGACTTTTTCACACCCTCTCTTTGGGGTAGATGGCTCCCCACTTTACAGATAAGGAAATAAAGGCAGAGATATTAAACCAACTGAAAGTAAGAAAACTTAAATATGTGTTGTTATACTAGGGCCTATTTTTCAGTCACTCAATATGGCTATCAAGTGTAGGTAAATTCTGAAAATTTTACTTTTATTCATATTGAATAAAAATTTAGTTTATAATTTAAACACTGTAGGTTCTAAATTTTGTGCATTATACAGGAAGAAGCCTTTAATTTCCCATCCATTATTTGGCAGACATTGTTCTTACCGGGTTAACTATTGGGAGTTGAGGCGATTGGGAAAGGATTTTTGTAGTGACAGCAAAATGAAGCACGAGAAGCTTTCAGAGGTGAAAATGTCATATTTCTCTCAGCATTTATACATTAAAGTCATCATTTTTAAGAGATTTACATTTGACTAAATAGATAGCAGTGTTTAAATATTGACACTAGGAAACAACATAAAACAACACACTTTTTAGATCTAGGAAAGATCTATCTAATGAACCCCTTAGTTTGTATAGATAAGAAAATAGTTGAGTTTAGCCTGGCTTTCAGAAGGTCACACAAAAGGGAGGAGCCAACAAGAAGCTAGAGCCTGGATTGCCAGGGTCACCTGGCTCCTCCTCCAGTGCTCATTCTGTTGCCTCCTTTGCTTTGTTTTCTTTCAGTAAATTTTCTTTTTATAGTTCAAAGTCCTGTTAAACTGTTTAGAATTTCTAAAAACCAGGACTCTGATTGTTCATGTCCCACCTCCAAGAAATTCCATGTAGTTTTTGGAGGGACATGGAGGAACTTAGCATCTTATTCAGTGTGTAGAGACTTCTTTATCTCTCCATTGATTTTTGGTGAAGAATCATGCCTCAGCTGATTAGATAATCATATTTTTATATGCTGAGACAAAGTGTGTTTCTCAGCATCTACCTTTTGCTAGCAGGATAGCCCATGCTTAAAATTTAATTGTTATATTTTTAGTAATGACAGTAGTGACATTGGGAGGTTTAGGTTCTTTGCATTATTAAGTTCATGAAAATTATCACGATGTTACATAATTTTGGGGTCAGAGGATCATGTGTTAGTGACTATTTTGAGTTCAGTTTCAGGCATCTGAGCAGGTGAAATGCTCTGATCTGTCATAATGCAAGGCTGGTGAAGATGATGACAATCCAATCCCCCAGGACAGAGAGTGTAATTTTGAAGTATATGACCCCCATAAACTACATTTGGTAAAGCAAAATCTATCATCATTACCAATGCTATGTAAAACAAATGGCATCTATGATTTTGTTATATCATTTTAGATCTCTGTTAAGCAGCCAGTAGCCAAGGTAAGCAGAAACCCTTTCTGATTACAGGCTAGATAGCTTTAGGAGTAGAATATTTTAGAGAGAGAGAGAGTGAACTTAACTATTGTTTCATTTTTTAAAGGCCTACAAAATTTGTTGTGTCATCTACTAAGAAATTATTCCCTATAATAAATTTGAAGATTACGTTGTGGGCCTACATACCTTCCCTTGAACTGATAGATTCACATTCAAGAGAGAGCTTTTATACACGCTTGACAATGAGAAATAATGAAATAGGTTTCTGTCACCTTACAACAGTTGTTCATGGCTTCTTAGTCATATGCAATTTTAATAGAGAGCAGGGTTGTGAATGAGGAAAAGGTGTTAAGATTTTGACTAAAGGTTTCTCACTGTATAGACAGGATTCTTCTTTGGACAATCTAGAAAAGAATAAGCTCAGTTCTTTCCTAGCTGGTATTTGATGATTGGATCTTACGAAGAGAAATTGGGCCTATTCTGTTGTTTAAAAAAAAAAAAACAAAAAAAAACTTCAGTTTTTGAATTAAGGGCTTAAAAAGTGGTCTGTTTTGGTTAAATTATGAGATGTGGTAGTATTTAAATGAAGTCAAAAAAATTAAGAAATGTGGCTGTTCTAAAGGACAGTAACTAGTTTCATTGTGTCTTTTAAATGTAGTTCAGCTCTTCAAAACTAAGTATTGATCATCTGGTCTTTATTTTCTCTTTTTGTATGTAGGCTTCTACTTAAAGTAGAAGCAGTAAGTCATTCAAACTCCTATTAGTAGCAATAGAAACTTTTCTGTCAGATCTTTCTTTTTCTTCATATTATCTTTTCTTTCAAACTTTAAAGCATAGTTGCATAATAGGTATTGATTTATTTTATTTTTTCCTTATGGAATCATGGGTAGTTTCATTGCAACTCATCTCTTTCTGTTTGTTTCGTATAGGGCTGATAGTTCAGGATCATTCAGACCCCATGTTCAGTTCATATGCCTATAAGTCCCACTACCTACTGAATGAATCAAATCGTGCTGAGTTGAAATTACCTATGATTCCTTCTTCGTCAGCTTCCAAAAAGAAATGTGAGAAAGGTAATAATTAAAATAGTTTCTCTCTTCTTTTATTTTTGCTTTTTCTATCTTTTTTCTTTAAATAAAGGAAAAATGTATGCCTGTCAAGCTTCATCTGTTGTTTTTGGTAAATTTTGCCTTGGTTGTTGTGAGTGTGTATTCATATGACTGGCAGAAATTATTAAAAGGGCTTAAAATAATTGCATCATTACAAATTTCTATCTGTTCTTCTTTCTGAGAGTCAGTTTTTTGATATACTGCCTCTACCATACCAGTAGGTTCAATTTGTTAAGCTAGAAGTTTACTTAATGTAGAATGTCATCCTGAGGCTGCTACCTTTCCCTTCTGTGCATATAAAACTTCCATTTATGTTAAAAGGAGGTGAATGCATTTTGAAATATTTGTTGCAACTCCTGACTTAATTAATACATAGATAAACCCATACCACTGATCATAAATACTGATAATGAAATTTGTTTTCCTTAGGCTGATATTAGGATCTTAGGTTTAGAATTAGAAGGTCATCTAGTCCAACCTATTCATTTTACAGATAAAGAAACTGAGGCTCTTATAGGTCAGATGACTTGCCCCAGGTTATATAGGTGGTAAGTGGCCAAGCTGGGATTAGAATACAGGTCCTCTAAATTCATATCCAGTCTTTTTACTATTCTTGCTGCTTCTCTAACATTAAAATAAACTGGCCTTCCCTGAGCACATGGGGAAAACAGCCCAGAAATAGGTTGGGTAGGAAAGGGGGAGCCTACCTGGAATATAAACAATTGATCATGGGTAAGTCATCCATGGATAATTTGGAGTCAGTTGTCTTTTTATATTCTTTCAATTGAGTTAATCTGGGGAAGGAAGTCTTACTCTTTAATTTAGCCTACATCTAATGAAAGAGGAAGAAAATTTAGCAATGATATTTCTGTGGGAAGTTGGTATTTCAACTGTCAATCCTAAAACAAATTAATTTAATAGGTAAATAGATTGCCTCTAGCTACGCATGTTTCCATTATCATCAGTTGCTTTTGCCAGCCCCCCATTAAAAGCAAAACAAAAAACCCAGAAGATACCTTGGCTTGTCTCATTTCAAAATGAAGTGATAAAGCATCACCAAAAGGAAATGTGACGTTCAAAATGATCATTCTGTATTTTGAAGAGGAGAGTACCTTGGGAGCTATGAAGAATTACATTGGGATTGTTTGTGGAGTTTTTTTCCTAAGTCAGTTTGTACCTTGTTTAGTGAAGTTACTTTCAATGAAGCCCAGGAGATAGATGTGCACCTTACTTTGTAACAAGATGTGTACTGCTGCTACCTCTCCTTCTCCCTCTCCCTCCCCTTAGACAATCTGAAGCATTTGGGGAAATGGTATCCCTGTTGATATTTCTCTAAAATTAGAAAATTGCAATTTCTGCTTACTTTGTTTTTAATACTCATTCAATACATTGTTTTCAATACTAATCCTGACATAAATAAAAATTATTTTGAGCCCTGTGTTTGCTTAGTTGGATAGTTTATTACTAATAAATCATAAGGAAACTTCTTGTTTAGCACAGAGATGGTCTTTTTTGTGTTTTTTATTTTTGTTTTGTTTTTCTCATGCATTGGCATCTTAATTATGGTGATTTTCAATAATTATGCTAGGTCTGTATTTCCTCTGAAATAAAGATTAAATTTTTTAATAGTCAGCTTGATTCTCTCATCCAGAGTATCAAAGACAAGTCGTGATTGGCAATGTCTGTTGGAGGGAGGAAGGAAGAATTGAATGCTACTATTTCTGTGTAAAACATAGAGGGATTCCCTACTTTAGTGATAACACTCCAGTTTGCAATTTCCAGAACTGGAGAGTGGGCTGATTATTCAAGTTTGAAATAAAGGGAGAAAATACCAGATAATTGGGTGTAAGGCTTTTAGCAGAGGAAATATAGTAAATAAATTATGTTATCAGTTAAAAGGATTAAAAGTCTATAAGAGGGCGAGAATATTCAAAAGGTTGGATGATAACGATTTTTTAAATTTATTTTTAAGGCAGTTGGGGTTAAGTGACTTGCCCAGAGTCACACAGCTAGTGAGTGTTTTGTATCTGAGGCTGGATTTGAATTCAGGTACTCCTGAGTCCAGGGCCAGTGCTCTATCCACTGCGCCACCTAGCTGCCCCGATGATATGATTTTTTAAAAGCTGTTTCATGGCTTGCCTAGATTTTTCACAATGGGACTCAGGGTCCCAATACAACTCAGTGGATAATAGTGTTCAATAAATGTTGTCATAAATGCACTTACAGTATGAGTTTTGTTCATCCATTGAAGGTGAAATTTATTTACCTTTCCATCAATGTCCACTTTGAAGGCATATAAGAATATACAAACCAAAAAGCAAATCATTTTATTTCAGATTTTATTTATTACACTTGGTTTGTTCTTCACCCTAAGAAAATTTTGTGCCATTACAGGGGTCTTCTGACTGGCAGTAGGTGAGAGACAATTCCTTCTGTTACCACTTCATTCCACGTTGTTTTTCAATACATTTATACTCTAAAAAATGGTTGACCTTCTTCACTGTCAACAACAACAAAAAAATGAACAATGTGGCCAACACAAATTTGAGGAAGATATCCTCCCTTTTGCTTTTTTGTGTTTTAAAATATGGAAGCAGAAAAGGGCTATGAAGCAACAAAGAGGCTACTTTTCATACCCTTTAACTTATTGTGAAGGGATTCCGTTATGCATAGTACTGGTTTAGAATAAGAAAATAAGGCTTATAACAAGAAGGCTAGAACAGCAAAAAAGAAACTTCTCAAATTTGCCCAGTCTAACTGTTTTTTGTTATCATTTGGCTATGTTTTCATCTGTTTGGCTTGCTGCTAAACAGGCACATTAAATCCTAGGTATTGCATGCAATATGTTTGCTTCCTAATACTTTAAGTGGCAAAGAGAGAGTCTCTGTTCTGGGGAAGAACTGCAGTACCCAGGCCTGCTTGTTTTCTCTTTTGAGCCATTACTATGACAGTGACCCGATCCCTTTCTTTACTTTGTCTAACATAAGGCAAATACAATGAAATTAAAAGAAAATCCTCATTGTTCTTCTTTCCTTTTGTCAGTTATTAAGGTTGTTTGTTTGTTTCAAGGTGGAAAACTGTTGTGCTGTGAATCATGCCCAGCTTCCTTCCACCCGGAATGCCTCAGCATAGAGATGCCAGAGGGCTGCTGGAATTGTAATGACTGTAAAGCTGGCAAGAAACTCCATTACAAGCAGATTGTTTGGGTCAAGTTGGGAAACTACAGGCAAGTTTCAAAGGGCAAAGAGAAATTCTGCCACTTTTCAGACTTAGGTTTTTAATCTGGCCAGATTTATTGATTAGAGTTCCTAAAGACAACGTAAACATGAGTTCTATTCAGCATTTTAATTTTTCATTTTTAAGGTCTAACAGAGCTGCCTTTCTGAAGTAAATTCTCTTGCTAGTTTTAGGGATGGAGACAGTTAAGCGAAAAGGGGAGGATTTCATTTTATTGCTACATAGGGATTTCTGCTATTTCCAGGTCAAGAAGTTCATGATCTGTTAGGAGAACTGTTTATAAAAATCTGTTTGTGTTCATAACCATCTTGAATCTAAATGTAAATCAATTCTAACTAGAGACCCTAAAGGTTGAGGTTCGTTGTGTGTAAAGAAGAGTATTTAGAATTTGATGAGTGTAGGTGTCTTGCCAAAAGAACCTTTTAGTCTTTCTAAAGAGGAAGAGAGAAATAGATAGAATTTTCCTCTATTGTACAAGACTCCCTCCAAAACCTGACTTTATGTTGCTTTTCAGAACTGATAAATAACTATAACATATAAATTGAAACCCCATGACACATTGCACCTCTCTATAGGATTCAAGATTTAGAGTTGGAAGGGAATCTTAGAGTTCATAAGTTCTAAACACTTCAATTTACAGCTGAAGAAACTGCAGCCCAGAGGGATGACATGAGGTCTCACAGGTATTATTAAGTGACAAGTCTGGGATTTAAACCTATATTCTCTGACTCCAGCCCCAGTGATCTTTTCACTGTGCCATGCTTTTAAGATCTATGTTTATCATTTTATTAAAGGATTAAATGCCATCAGCCATTGCAGAGTATCAACACGATAAATTTTATAACTAAGATTTCACTAAGTATGACACAATTCAAATTGTTTTTCTTTCTTTTTTAAAAAATTATTTACCTAAAAAAAATTACTTACCTAAATCAGGTAGTAAGTAAAAGAGCAGAATACCAGAATTCCAGTTTGTTTGTTTTTTTTCAAACTAACTGTGACATAATTATAAAGTCATTTTTAATGTGGCTCTTTTCTTTTTCTGTATTTGCTTAGATTATAGGCCCATCTTCCAACTTACTTAGCTTTATAAAGCTCATAAATGTGATGTTCAGTGGAGATCAATCAGAAGGCACTTAGAATACAAAAAAAAAAAGAACCTTCGAAGGAAACTCAATGCACTGCCTTCCAGTTAGGATCATTGCCAATATGTTTTTCTATCCAGGCAAAATCTTCTTGTATGTCTTGGAAAAACTTCAACACTTCATCCTGAACTAGCCCTTTATGTATTTTTTTTTTTGCTAGTCTGACCCAGCTAGACCACATGAAGCTGTTTATTGTGAGTAAGCAAGTTATTCCAATCCGGAGGTTCCTAGGGAATAAAAAGGGAGTTATGTGGCAAATCCTGAGAGATCAGTGGTCCAGCTTCTCCTGGGAGTCTGACTATCCCTAGTGATTCCTGCAACCCAGCAAATTGTTAAATTCCTCAAAATGTTTAGAAACATCTAGAATATCCACTTCACAAGTTGCTTGGTAAACTAAATAGTGACTTCATGAACTATTGTTTTCTTAAATTGGGCACCAATTCTTAATTGTAATTTTTAACTAGTAGGAGAAATTCCAGAGTAGTCATTGAATGTCTATGCAGGTTCTGCACTGTGTGTTGAGGAATGCAGCCTTGTCACCAGCTCAGTAGAGTGTTCACCAGGGTTAAGGCTTTTTAAACACATGGCCATGATAAAGAAGACAGTGCCCAACAAATTGTTTTGTGTGTTTGCAGTTGATTTTCATGATCTCATGTAAGTAGCCATATGAGAGAGCCTGAGGTTGGGCTTCCTTAGCTTCTTCCATTTGTTTCTTGACTTTCCAGTTTCTGGAAGTTATCAAATGCTTCACAGATGGTTTCGTTTAATTGTTGCTAGAGTGCTCAGTCTTAGTTGCATGAGGCGTTTTTGCCTTTATTTTATTCCAGACTTCAATTTGTTGAGATTTAAGAAGAACCATGATTGAGACCACTTAACATTGAATTAGATTCTGAAGTACAGTTTAGTGCAAAACATCTCACATTTGGCCAAAAGATGTATGTCCTCAAGTGACTGAAGGTTCAGAAAATGTCTTGGAAGGAAGAGTACTATTGAAGAAATTGGCCTTGCCACACCTTTCACTGGCAGCAACTTATTCTCAAAATGAATCCATGAATGTGTAATGTTCAGTTGTGTTATGAGGGAGCAAGCAGTTAAACTGTTTTTCTAGGAGAAAGCCTGATTTATTATCTGGAGTTGAAATGATACTGAACATATAAGAAATAACTTTTCAATCTGTGTCCTCTCCTTGTTCACAATAAAAAATTATACAGTTCAGTTTTACAAAATTTCATAGTTTAAGGAAGATTAAAGACCAATAAAACCTTTTATGCTTTTAGGACCTAAAACAATTTATGAATTATGTAACTTTTCTTTTTTTTCCCCCTAGGAGAGGCAGCGTGGCGTAGTGGATAGAGAGCTGGCCTGGGAGCCAGGAAGACCTGGGTTCAAGTCCTGCCTCTGACACATACTGGCTGTGTGACCCTCGGCAAGTCACTTAACCTCTCAGTGCTCTAGGCAACTCTCTAAGACTCTTAAGTTGCAGAGAAGGTGCCGACCTGCATTGGGAGAGGGAGTTTCCTCATCTGGGAGTTCCCTATACTAATGAAATCACAGGTCCAGTCCATATCCCTGTCCCTTTTTTCTTCCACCAAGCTTGAAGTATAATTATGTGGTTTCTCTTCTTATGTCCCATGTATTTTATCTAAAATTGATTTTGTTTCTAGGTGGTGGCCAGCAGAAATCTGCAATCCCAGGTCCGTGCCTCTTAACATCCAAGGCCTTAAACATGACTTAGGGGACTTTCCTGTGTTCTTCTTTGGTTCTCATGACTACTATTGGGTGCACCAGGGCAGAGTGTTCCCATATGTTGAAGGAGACAAAAGCTTTGCTGAGGGGCAAACTAGTATTAACAAGACCTTCAAAAAAGGTAAATTGGGTAATATTTACAATGGCTTAAAACTAAGGCTCCAGGAGTTGATGTGCTAACCAGCATCCCCTCATTTGCATGACAGTAACATTAATCTTATTAGAAGTCAGAATTTTAAAAACTGTTATCTTTGTTTGTACAGTGCCTACATTTTCCTGTATAATTTTTCCCACTTTTCAGAGAGCCATCGCATATAATAAAAAATTATTAAAATGAGAAAGAAGTCAACAAAACTGATCAACACGCTGAAAAAATCTGACATTTTATGCAGTGTTCTTCACTGTGGACCCCCTGCCTATGCAAAACATTGTGGGGAGGTATCCTCCTCATGACAATAGTATCTCTTATAGTGTCTCTTCTTTGAGATCATGCTTTTTTTTTTTTTAATCATTTCACAAGACTCATTTTTTATTGTGTTATAAAGGTTTTACTTTTTCATGTACATTGTTGGCTTGTTGGCATTGTTTTATATGTTGTTTTCCTGACTCTGCTTATATCACTTTGTATCAGTTCATGTAAGTCTTTCTGTGCTTCTCTGTTTTCATCATATTTGTCATTTATACTGCAATTTGTTTAGCCATTTTCCATTTTATAGGCATCTACTTTGTTTCAAGTTCTTTGCTGCCATCAAGATGCTACTATCAATATTTTGTTGTATTTGAAGCTCTTCTTTTTGTTAATAACCTCCTTGGTGTGTAAGCCTAGTAATGGAATCTCTGGGTCAAAGCCTATGAACATTTTAATTACTTTATATGCATGATTCCAAATTGTTTTCCAGAATGGTTGTACCAATTCACAATTCCACCAATGTGTTAGTTTGCCTATCTTTCCACAAACACAACAAAATTAACTATTCTCTTCTTTTGTCATTTTTGCCAGTTGGCTAGGTGTGAGGTGAAACTTCAGGGTTATTTTCCATTTCTCTTATTAGTGCTTTGGAACATTTTTTCATGTGGTTGCTAATAAGAATTGTTTGTTCACATCATTTCACTGCCACTATTATGAAGAATTCTTTTATGAAGAATGTATCAAATAATAGGTTCAAAATAATAAATTCACAGTGGATACATTGTCTGAATATTATGTATTATTAAATATTACATATATCATTAAAAACTATAAGAAAAACAAATAATATACATTTTACAGCTATGGGTCAGGAATGAATCTTTAATCAAAAAGAGGTAGATGTATTTACAGAAAAAACAGATTATTTTAATTACATTAAATTAATTTTGCACAAATTAAATTAATACAGGGAAAAAGGGAAAAAGCCAGCTGGCAAAAAAAAGCCCAACTTTGTTTCAGATATCTCTGGTAAAGAGTTTGATGTCATACATATAATATTATGTGTGTATGTGGACACACACACACAGAGATAAATAGGACCAAACAAGAACTGATTTTTTTTTTACAATATTATATTCCCTTCCCTCTTAAGTTTGTCATTTTGTTAGAAACATGTTCACAAGCATGAATTTTAAATGCATTTGAATGCCATTTTACCACATTGCAATAGCCTATGCTCTATATTATTTCTCCATACCCTCTTGACAATAATATACATTCCAAGGGTTATTTCCAAGGGGTCCTGGTTCTATTGCTCAAAAGAAACTCTTCAGACCAAGTGGAATAGTAGTAATTATCAGTGGAGCTTCTCCCTCTAATGCTTACAAGCTGGGTCTCCCTGAGAATCATGCACTAACTGAAGGAGGACTCAGATCAGCCCTGATCCAAAGGATTGGGCATCTAGTCTTTAGACACAGTCCGTGACTCACATTCCTAATTTGTATGTATACCCTTTGTTCATTATGAGTTGGAAATTTCTGGAGTCTGATCTTTAAGGGGGGAAAAAAGGAAAGGGGAAAAAATTAGCCTCCAAGCAGTGAAAGGACAGTGTAAAAACCCCACTTAACACCTTCTGTTTATGTACATTGTTTGTTTGATATTGTATAGCACTTGAGGAAGCTGCACAACGTTTCCAAGAGCTGAAAGCACAAAGAGAAAGTAAAGAAGCCTTGGAGCTGGAAAGAAATTCAAGAAAACCCCCACCCTACAAGCACATTAAAGTAAGTGTTTCCCTTTGAGCAAATTGACTTCTTGCCAGACAGACACTGTTTTCATAATGATCATGTGATCTTTGTCTTGTGATAGCTTCTGCTAATTGTCACTTGGTCTCATGTGTTAATTTCAAGCACTCTAATGGTGACTCTCTCTGCTCCTTTTAACATCAGATGAGAGCCACAAACTGCACTGATGTTCCATCGTAATGAGGATTAAGGCTTTCAAAACACAAAAGCCTTCTGGGATACCTAGAATGTGACACATCATACGCGAAACCTAATTTCTCACTTCACCAGTTAGCCTGCATTCCCATAGTAACAACATTATCCTGTTTTTATATAGCATCTTGGTTCCAAAAAGCCCAAAGCACTTTCACGTAAATTATTTTGTTTATGCTCATAAAATTCCATTTAACTAGGAAAGAACACAAGTTATCCTTGATTTATAAGTGAGCGCTCAAGATTTAATAAGAGCCTTTCCCAGAGTTACAGAGCAAGTCAGTAGCAGACCTAAGACCGTCCCTAAAATGGTCGCTTTTCCAGTGTTTTGACCACTCGTTGATTCTCGTTTTCGGTTTTGTTTGCCAGGCCAACAAAGTGATAGGGAAGGTTCAGATCCAGGTGGCTGACCTGTCTGAGATCCCTCGCTGTAATTGCAAACCTGCTGATGAAAACCCCTGTGGCCTGGAGTCAGAGTGCTTGAACCGCATGTTGCAGTATGAGTGTCACCCCCAAGTATGCCCAGCTGGGGACCGGTGCCAGAACCAGTGCTTCACCAAAAGGCTCTATCCTGATGCTGAAGTCATCAAGACAGAGAGACGAGGCTGGGGCCTGAGGACCAAGAGGAGCATCAAGAAGGTGACTTCATTTGAGAATAAAGTGCATAGAACTGGAGCTGATAGGAACTTGGGCTGTCTTGGTAAACCAAGAACGAATTAACTAATTAGTCCAGAGTTAAAAACTGGGAGTTTATGAAGTTTTTGAGATTTACTTAGTTTATAAATTTAGCACCCCTAGATCCATACCTCATGCTTGGTACACAATGAACGCTTAATAAATGCTTGTTGACTGGCAAAGAGGTTTGCATGGAAGCAATCCTGAGTTCTCAGAAAATGTGCCTCTCCAAGGCACTACAAGGTTGGGAGTCAGGAGGACCTGAGTGCAAATCCAGCCTCAGACACTTAACACTTACTGGCTGTGTGACCCTGGGCAGGTCACTTAACCCCAATCGCCACAGCAAAAACAGAAAGAGAGTGGAAAGATAAGAAATAGGAGGTGGGGGTAGGCAGAGGGGAAACAGTCCATTGGGATCTCTGGATCTCTAGTCCATCTCTGTCTCTAGATCCTGTGCTGTACAGGGATGGAAATTCTTCCGAATCTGTAGGGCCAAAGGAGTGAGAGAGCTATCCCTTCATCTGCCTAGCAACTTTTCAGATTGGCTAAATTTAACTTCTCTCAACTCATCAGTGAGTACTAGTGTGTGCTGCCCATTGAGGCAGCTCGACAGTGCAGTGCATAGAGGATTGGATATGGAGTCAGGAAGATCTGAATTCAGATCCAGCCTCAGACACTAGCAATGCGATCCTGGGCAAATCACTTAAACCTCTCTCTGCCCCATTTTCCTTACCTGTAAAATGGAAAGAATAATCGTAATAGCACCTGCTTCCTCAGAGAATGATAGGATGAGATAATATTTGTAAAGCGCTTTGCAAACCTTAAAGCACTTTACAAATGCTGTAGCTCCTGCTGCTCATGATGCGGAGCATTGGACAAAGACAGTCACCAGAACAGCAGGATTTGTTGGGGAAAATGTTATGTGGAACATGCCGATATTTATCTCAGTAGTGGAGATTCTTTTTTTTAATAGTTTAGATTAAATGGACTCTAGCAAGTTAGTACTTTACCAAAACCAGGAAATATGAACTATATTATAGACTGTCATTGGCTATAGAAACACTCTGATGCTGGGGATTAAGGAAGGGGCTGGTAAAAATGTGATCATGGTAATGGGAAGATACTTGAAAAATAATGTTTTTGTTGTTTTTAAAATGGAATGGTTGGCAATTTTTTTTTTCATATAAATGTGAACATAAAAGGGAAAGAAAGATTATGTTGATTATAAGAACTAGTATTCTCATTTATTTGGAGATAAAACAGGTCATGTTACTCCTCAACTAAACCTTAGCTTTATTTGCTGAAAATTTCAGCAAATTGCCTGTGAAATTGATATACTACTTAATTCTTGGGTTGTGCCTTTGTAAATCAGTGCCACTGTATTTGTCTGGTGAACATCTTATGAAAAAGGAATGATTACTTTGGATGGGGGAGAGAACCACTTTGTCACCTTCTATAACACTTGTATCCCAATAGCTATGTACTCTCTGCAGTATTGTCCTGCCCATTTTACAGTTAAGGAAACTGAGGTTCAGTGATTTGCTTATAATCACTTACATAGCTGGTAAATGTACTTGTCCTCACACCCATGTCTCCTGACTAAATCCTTCCTTGTCTATCGCTCCAGGGACATGTTTGAAAAATAGCCCGATTGAAATCCATTCACAACTAGAAGTTGTGCAAACTAAAGTTTATTCCACTTTATTCATTATTTCAGTGCTCTTTATGGGATCTCTTTTGATTTTCAGTGATGTCATCCTTATTTTAGGAGCACTACTATAATGTACTTTTTGTGTTTTTTTATTCTGGGTAGGGTGAATTCGTAAATGAATATGTTGGTGAGTTAATTGATGAAGAAGAATGCAGATTGCGAATCAAACGTGCCCATGAGAACAGCATAACTAATTTTTATATGTTAACAGTCACCAAGGTAAAAAATGTCTTTTTTCTTATGAAACAAGAGGGTTTTAACATTAAGTTCAGCATTGAGCCTGTTCAGTCATAGGAATGAGCCCACATTATTTAATTATGCAGCCAAATTATGTCTTTGGTGATTGAAAATAGGACCAGAATGCTAAGTACTATAATTTTGTACCTGTGTATATATATATTAAATAAGGGTTCAATAGATTGATTTTTGAGGTCCTGAATATTTTAAGCAGCTATTAAAGTTTTATTTTTTAAGAAAGGCAACAATTCTAAAGTACAATGTGTAGTTTTTAAGTTAATTAAAGGAGCAGAGGGGTAATAATGATAAATTATAGTAAAGTACAACTCTGATAAGTATAATCATACCTTATATTTCTGTAATACTTTAACCCTTTAAAAAGTATCTCACATTGTCTCCAAACACAAGCTGATTTAGATATCTTCCTTTTACAAGGTGAGGCATGGCAGGATTAGATGATATGTCCAAGTTCACACTAAAAATCAGTGGCAAAAGCAGAGACTACCCATCCTGGTAAGAGAGGAGAAATCCCTGTTTGAAAACCTAGAAAGTGTTTTTTAAAAGAATAGTAAAAAAAATTTTATGATAGGTTTTTAAGTAATAGAGAATCTAAAATGTAAATCAGTTTTTGCCAGATAGTGTCACTCTGAAATCTTGATTTTTAGAGGCTGCTTACTCAGCACTCCAAAGACTGTCCAGATTGTACACATTACAAATACAGGCAGTTCAAATCATCAGTGTAAGTATAGGCTGAGCAGTTCTACCCTCCCTGTAGACTTTGTCTCCCTGGTTTGCCCTTTCGCTGTGCTTTAACTTTGCTACCAGGCAGTGTTGGAACAGTCTTCAAGGCATAAAGCCTTCTTCACACATATACCTCTCCCAACCTCAGTTCAAAAATACCTCCAAAGAAAGCTCTCACTGAGGATTTTTGAGATTTTAATTTCCAGATACCATCATAAATTGTCATCTGACCATTTTCTCTAGTTCCTCTTCTCTTTTCTACTCGAGGTTCCCAGATACCCAATTCTCTAATAGCAAATACTGTTTAAAAAAAAAAAAGTGCTATGGATTGTTCTCTAGTTTAAGCAGGTCTTCATATCCTATTCTTGATCCAGTTGAATTTCCGAAACATCTTTGAATATTGTAGGTATATTTGTTTTTCTAAGTGCTAAGCTTTAAAAAAAAATAAGCTGAACTATCACTATTTCACAGTTACATTTCCCTTAAGGACAGTAGGCTAAAGTTACTTTCCAGTAGGGACATGAATTACTGGACTTTTAGATTGCTTAAATGTGAAATGTTAGTGAAGACCACAGAACAGACAGGTTGGGAAGTATCTGCTACAAGAGAACCTCTTACTATGTTTGGTGCTTCTAAAAGAGGCCCACAATGATCTCAAGTAAAAGATAATTTTCTTTTTGCTTAAGGACCGTATTATCGATGCTGGCCCAAAAGGGAATTATTCTCGCTTTATGAACCATAGTTGCAATCCAAACTGTGAAACTCAAAAGTGGACAGTGAATGGGGATGTTCGTGTTGGACTTTTTGCTCTTTGTGATATTCCTGCAGGTAAAGCATCCCTTTTCTTTTTCTTTCTTTTTTTTTCCTTTCCTTTCTTTTCCTTTTTTTTTCCTTCCTTCTCTTTCATTACAACTTGGTCTTCCTTTTAGAGGGGGGAAAGCCATAAAAAATTTTGTTTTCAGCTTGGGAACTCCCCAGGTATCTGTGAAGTAACCCTTATTCTGAATTTAGCATCCTTTCAAAGTGCAGTTATCATAAAAAATTGAAACATGCACATTCTGAATAAGACAACACAGTGAGTCTCAGGACAGGCTTTGAGATGCAGTGCTTGCTCATATTCTCATGGAATTGTTTAAGTAATTACAGCCAGTATCTGTAGCCATTTATGTAAGATTTTAATTACTGCTCTTTTTTTAAGTCCTAAAGGCAATTAGCCTGTGTTAACTTTGGCTAAGTTGTCTCCTTAAAAGACTGATCCTCTTCCAAATTATATATATAAAAAGCATCTTTAAACAAAACTGTTCCTTTCATTATCCCCATTCCTTCAAGTATCATCATGATGAAACTTAGTTTTCAATTTTTTAAATTTGTGGAAGAACTGAGCGAGACACACACTTTGGCCCAAGATGTGAGATTTTTTAAACTATATTCATAATATTAAGAATTATATAAATTCTGGCTAATGAAAGTTAGGGAGACCCTAGTTTACATTCCTGCTTGATAGAACTATGTGATAGCCATACTTATTCAGCTCCTATTCTGACTGGGACATTGTGTGGCTATAGCTAGGACCAATTAATTCAAAATAACCTCCAGTGATTCAGTGCTCTGTAGTTTCATGGCCATAGAATTGTTTGATGAATAGGGAGACAGCATTGGAACAGAAAATAAACTAAATTAATTTTTTCTGGAGCATGGATTTCTGATTTCTTGGTCTTGGCCACATTGTTTCCAGCTGTTTTTGAGTAGAGGATGTCACTTCTTTTTACAGGATTTATGTTTGCTGCCAGCTATGTGTAGGCATGGATGTTTTCCTTGTTTTCTTTTTCCACTAGTGTTTTTAATGTGTGAGACTTGAAGAGGAAGAATAGCCTTTACATCCAAGTTGTGTCTCTTTTTTCATTATGAATGGGTGTCTGATGACATTTCTCCTCTCGAGAATGCCTTGCATGTGGATGATCGCTTTCTTTATGTTTCAGGGGTAGAGCTAACATTCAATTATAATCTGGATTGCCTGGGCAATGGCAGGACAGAGTGTCACTGTGGAGCAGACAACTGCAGCGGCTTTCTAGGAGTTCGACCAAAGGTCAGTTGTACAGGAAAGAAAGATTTCCTGGAGGATAATGCTCCCAGTCACAGCAGACAGAAAAGAGGGCTGGTGAGAGCAGGCTCCTTTTAGCCATCTCAGGAGACCCTAATTTGGGGATACCCAGTTTGTTTTGAGAGTACTGACTACATTGGTAAAAGTTCTCATTCAGTGTTCACTTCTGACTTTTCAATAAAGTTCTTTGAATTAAGGGTTGGAATTGTATTTGTATGGTATTTTTTTTGACTGTCTTAGCTGAGTTTGCAAATTCATGAAAAATTTCCACCTTTTTGCATCAGAATTGTTGGGAGTGTTCCCTGTTGGTGAGGCAGTATTGCATAGAGGATAGAGATTCCAGTTTGGAAAGACCTAAATTCAAATTCCACCTCTGGCAACTACTAGTGTCACTGTGGACAGAAAAAAAGTGAAACTCACAAAAGCCAATAAGAATAAACTACTATAGTTTAATTTTCTTAAAACAATAAACAATCATAAATTTCTCTAGGTATTCAAATAACTTATTAATTTAAACAAATGTGGAACTGCAGTGAGGTTTTGTTTGTTTTCTTTTTACTTTCCATCTGAAGCTTCCTCCACTGCCTCTGGTCATTATACTGTGATTTTTTTTTTCTCCCCAGACGGCATTTGCGTCAGCAAATGAAGAAAAAGCAAAAAATGCTAAGTTGAAGCAGAAGAAACGGAAAATCAAAACAGAACAGAAGCAGATGCATGAGGATTATTGTTTTCAGTGTGGAGATGGAGGAGAGCTGGTCATGTGTGACAAAAAAGACTGTCCAAAAGCATACCACCTCCTATGCCTTAACCTGACGCAGCCACCATATGGTGAGAATTGGCATTTGCTTTCCTGCTGTTAGGTGTGTTTACATTTGAATGTCAGACGTGTTCACCTTTCCTGAGGCTAACCACGCCTTAGGTAAGTAGAGGTTGGACAGAATGTGGAGCCAGAGAGCACCTGGATTCAAGTCTCAGCTCTGCCTCTTGCTGCCCGCTTGACCTTGGGCATATCATTAGGCTCAGAAAGGATATTTCCTCCTCTGGAAAACGAAGGGGTTGGAGTAGATGACCTCTAAGGTGCCCTCCCACTCTAAACCTATAACTCTGACTTTCCTGGAGTCAGGGAATCAGTAAATAAACATTGGTTAAGCCCCCACTGTGTGCTAAGCATTGGGGATACAGAGATAAAAAATGAAAGACAGCTCAAGGAGCTTACAATTCAGTAAAGGAAGACAACACAAAAAAGGAAACTGAAAAGGAGTGGGGAGAGAAAGTACCTGGCTCAGGGGCATGATGAAGTCCAAAGGAGTACAGCCTGGTAGGAAGTGAAAAGATGGCTGGCCCAAGCACCCTCCTTAAATAGAGGTTTTGAAAGGACTTCACCCTCCCTTCAGAGGAATCTCAGGAGCAGAGGGTACTGTGGGGGTGTGAATCCCAAGACAGAGGTAATCTTGTGTCTAGGGGTTAGGAGGATCAAGGAGAAGGCCAAAGAAGGGCAGCTGGGTGGGAGTGAAAAGCAAACAAAGCTGCTGATGGTATAAATAAAATTACTCTTTGCTTTGCTGTGGATTTGAGTGCTCTGTGGACAACCATATCTAGTTACTTATTTGATCACACTGTAGGACTAAGCTCTTTGGGGAGCAATAAGGCATGCCCATATTTAAATGTTTCTCCATGGTTCTTTTTGTTGGCTTCAGCTCTGTACTGTTCCATTGTACCCCACCTGGTCCCCAATGAGAAGGAAGGTGGAGACTTGGTAATGTTTTAAGTGAGTTTAACATGTCTAATCAAAACGAATGTGAAACTGAATTTTCTTCTTCCTCTTTTCTTTAGGAAAGTGGGAATGTCCCTGGCATCAGTGTGACACATGTAGCAACTCTGCAGTTTCTTTCTGTGAGTTCTGTCCATGTTCATTTTGTAAAGATCATGAGAAAGGGGCTTTGGTGCCCTCTGCACTGGAAGGCCGTCTCTGCTGCTCTAAACATAACCCTAAATCTCCCGTGGCACAAGAGTACTGGAACAAGATAAGATGCAAATTGGAATCACAAGATCCTGGAGATGACGTGAAGGAATAAATTTACAGTGTTTTATTTTTATTTTTTATTTCAATTCTTTTTTTTTTAAGAAAGATAAAGGTAAAAAGTAAATAGGTGATGAAATAGATAAAGAAGAAACTGTCATAATGTACTTGCTTTATCACCTGAGCTGGCTTTGTAATTGGAATGGAGGAATTATGTGATCCAGGCAGCCAAGGAAGACAGTGATGCCTGGATTTTGAATGATTTGTGATGGGGTGGGGTGATTAAATTCTTTCTGTGTTTTCCTTGCCCTTAAATGTGCTTCTGCAGCTGAAAAACAGATATACCTTGGCCTTTAAGAAAGAAAAATTAGAAAATACATTTATGTCAGTAAACAGAAATTTCAAGTTTAAAATATGTTTCTGAGTGTAGAAGGTAAAAGTAGTCACCACTCTTTTATTTTGCTTTTAAGGAATCTTGAAAAATATGACTTAGATAGTTTAATCAGTGTGTTTAAAGAAAAAGTTGGGGATGGGGGGTGGGGGGAGTAGGAACTTGACTTCTTTTCTGGAATAGTCCAGAAAAGGGTATAATAGTCTTTACATACATTTTTATGAAAAATTAATTTAGGCTAACTCCTTTGTGGCCCTTCAGAATTCTCTGGTGGTCTTGGAAGTTGGGGTGTGGGAGTGGTCAATCTGACTGTAAACAAAATGCCTCTTTCTGTTGAGTGTACCTCTCTGGGCTCCAAGACAAGGTGGGCTCCATGATAGCATTATTTAAGTTATTAATATGGATATAATACTTTATTTTTTAAAAATTACAGGATGATTCTACTGATTTTTAAATGCTTTTTTGTTAATGCTAACTTTTTACAAATGACGTGTGTCTATATGGGTATGAAGAAGCAGGAAGAATAGCTGTCCTTACCATACTGCCACACTGATGTAGGCCATTAAAAGGAGATGAGATGCAGCTAACTCAAAGCCTTATGCTGGGGCTGTTGTCGCTGTTGTATGCAGATGATAAGCTCAACTGGAGAGGAATCACAGGCTTTTTCTTTTTCCTTTTCGCCCCTTCCTCATCTTAACTAAACATTCCTTTTGTTAACTGACTAGTCCAGCCTTGTTTCTTGGTGGAAAATACACAGATGTACTTTGAATTGTATTTTAAATAGCTCTTCTTAGTTGTGGATGGATGAATTTAAAAGGCCATATTTAAGCAGTTTTCATTGATTGATATCTTAGTACTGAACATTGCCCTTGCTGTTAGGAAACTAATGGCTCTTCTAATTCCACAGGGTATGAAATAGTAACACAAATGCACTTGTTCTTTACCAGTTATCTGGGAAAAGCTCCCAGGGAAGTCAGTGTTAACAAAAGGTGTTGGCTGTGATTTATAATTTTCTAGTACACCAAGACATCTATCTTACTCATGGAATTCGTTTATTCTTAGGTCTCTAGGAATATGTGTCCCAATATTCTCCGGGGCAGGGGACTAACACAAGATATGGTAATGTCATTGTGTTGAGTGTCTTGTGTTCATTTCTTCTCTGAGTTTTGACTGAATAGAAAGAACTTCAGACACAAGGTAGCATCCCCTTCCTTCCCAAGGACCCAATAAGGAATCCAGAAAAGAAATTAGAGCCACCTCATCCCTTCCATAGTTGGGGCAGTTGTACTATTATACTTATTCCCTTTTCTACATCAGTTTTAGAGCATTCCTAACTGAAACAAAATGGAAAATAAGAAGGAAAATGCAGTTTGGTGCCTCTGTGTGCATATATGGGTGTATGGACACGTGCATGTGTACTGGATTTTTTTTTTTTTTTTTTTAAAACAGAACACTATGATTACCTTTAAGCACTTGAACTGCCAGCTCCCAGAAAGGACTTACTGGGCCTCCTATAATTGATTTTTCTTTTTTGTTAAGGGAATTAATTACTCCAGTAAAACTCAATTCCCTAAGTTTTGCCACAGTGGCAAGAGCTAAATGGAAAATGCTATCTGTGTCACTGGTTGTGGTCACTACTCATAAAATGACAGCTTACCAAAACACACTAAATTTTGCTTCCTTAGCATTTATGTATTTTGATATCCTTTTAACATTATTTAATAGTATTTAGGCTTTGTCATACTTTTAATTTTGTACATGTATGATATATTTGCTTAAAAAGTTATAAATATGAAGATTTAATTTAATATTCCAAACATAACTCTCCTCTTGCAACGGCATCCAACAGGAAATCTGATGTTTGCTTTGTATAATAATGTGTTTGGCTTCAGTACCACTTAGTAATATTCTGTTGAATTTTACATGGTAAGCCAGGGTGTGCTGAATACTGCAAAAACCTTATGTTGAAAGTATTTGTATTTGTTTTTTTTTTAAATAGTATCTCATTGTTGGCTTGTTTTTCTCTTTAAGTAGCAGAGCTCTACCAAGATTTCTTTGTTGGAATAATTAATGGAAAAGCATAGGCTGATAGATAGCTTAGCACAACAGAAGAATTGGACCATGAATAACAACTTTTTCCATTGAGCACCTGAATATTTGAAGGAGTTTTAAAAAATGGGTTTGATTTAGTAGTGCCAGTGCCAAGAGGATGTCTCATTTTTTGCTGTCATACCTTTTTTAATGCACCTTTAGAATGTGAGATTGTGGAGAAGGTGAGAGTGTGTAAGTGTATACTTGCACCCAAACTATTCACTGAAATGTTTTGAATGAGCTGAGGGTCACTTTCAAATTTGTGGTCAGTGGCGTAAATGTTGTTGTTATTGTTGCTGTTGTTCCTTTTCACAAAGAAATGAACGAGGCAAAACTGCTAGATTCCACCATTTCCTCTATTATTCTCTGCTTTACCTCGTGCTAATTATTTTGAAGGAGGATACATTTTGTGGTTGTTGGCATGAAGCTCACATCTGAATCAGTTGTGGTTGAAGATGAAATACTGAAGACCCTCCCCAGGACAATGTGAAGTGGGATAGAATGGAATCAACTTGGACCAGTTTCAGGGAACAGAAGAGCTGGTTGTCAAGCTTGACTTATATAGTAAGAGTTGGTTAATATGAGGATAAATATTCATTCTTGGCACTGATGCCATGGCGTGCAGCTGTGCAAAGCAGAAAAATGAACTTTGTAGCTCTTTAAGCTGATAAGAATGGAGTTACAGGAAGGAGGAGGTGATTTTTTTAAAGCATGTTTTCAGTTTATCTTGAATGTGCATCTGAGTTTTTAAGGAAATGATCTGGTTTGAGTTTTAAAGCTGAATTCCAAGATCATTATTACTAGGATTGGTGTGGGACCACCTCTGAGAGGATACATATTCAAACCACACCAAAAAAAGATGGCATGCACATCTTCCCCCAATCTCTTCACCCTCATCTTCACGGAGAAGGAAATTATCACAGTGTGCCCATAAACACTGACCACAGCTAAAGCTACTCAGGAATTGGAACTTCAAGCATTCTAACCATCCAAAGGACTGTGACTAGAAGGGTAGTTGAGTACTTGACAGTTTTTTGTCCTGGTGGACAGAGTAGTTTCTTGCTCAGTGTTTAGACCACATTCAAACTTACTTGCAAATATCTTGGTCTGTAGTTTGTATAACAGAAGTTGCTATCTATAAAGTAATATAATATCTGTGCTGCCCAGCAGAGGTCAGTTATCTTTAAAAAATAAAGCCCTTTCTTTGCACGTTTAAAACTAGAGTGTTGCTGCCACATATGTTCTAATGTGGTATAAAAACAAAAGAATTCAAATGGAGATAATTCTTACCACTTGAGAAGTGCTTAGCCACTTACATGTTTTCATTAGGGGTTTTATCAGATGGATAGTAGCAACAGATTTGCTTCCAGAGTAGGGTCTTGTCCAGTTGAATTACTTATCATTCTGTTGGTAGGTCACATAAGAGCTGGGTACATGATGAGATCAGGTGAGATATTTTCCTTTGTCCAGACCGCTCCAAAAAAAGTCATTGGTCTTTTTTAAACAGAAACTAAAATGAAACTCTCTTCTGTTTTCAAGTAAAATAGGAAGTGGACACATTTTTGGGGCAAATTGGCAAATATTGAAAAGATTAAAAATTTGTATATACAGAAACTTTGCAAGCAAACTTTTATCTGGAAAGGTATGGGGGCGGGAGATGAAACAAGGCAGTGGGGATGATGTTTACCACAGGTACGAAGTAGTCACTTTAACACTGAGACCTCTGCCTCATTGAATTCAGGTTTTCTAATGTACATACTTGAAGCCCTTCAGATGCTCATTTTGCAGCTTTTTTATTTATAAAGTAGAAAGCATTGTTTTGTGTACTACATTGAGAATTAGTAGCCGAGTCTCTTGCCCTCCTTAACTTGGGTGAATTTATGGGTAGTGCAAATGGGATTTTCAGAGCAGGTGTCTCTGTTTTATGTATGCACTTAGGAAGAGACTACTACATAAGAAACCAGCAGCATTTTATGACAATTTCCTATGTTTGTTCTTTATTTCCAATATTGTATCAATTCTGTTCTGCCCCTCCCCCCTTTCCCTTTATTGTGTCTGTGTAACGAAAATTTTGCACTTACATTACACTCCCAAAATGCTGGATGTAATCAGTTGTGTTTCAGAAACTTATTTCCGTTTTCTATCATAGTCCATTACAGAGTGACAGACTTGGGTGCTTGTTATATGTTTGTGCTTAAAGGAAGGGAGAGAGAATTTTGGTGAACTGCAGTGGCCTCTATAATGGAGATCCTTAAAATCATTCCCATGTAAACAAAAGTAAGGTAAAATAATGTCTTAATTGCCAAAGCCATTCACTCAGTCTTTCAGGTTTTCATGTGGTTTTTATTGAATAAATCTGTTCATCAGAATAGAAATGCCCACCATTTCTAAACTTCTACCTGGAAAGAAAGAGTGTATTGGGGTCATTTTGGAGCATAGCTCAAGTGGCCTAGCATTGGACCTTTATAAGGAATTCTTAGGAGTTTAGAAATGGGCTTGGATGATATTTACTTTAACTTGTCATTGATCTTGATTGGCATATCTCATTTGTAGTGTTATATTCATATAAAAATTATATCACCACTGATAACCAAGATGATAATGATTACAACTGACTAGTGATGAGATTTTTTCTTTGCATAAGGGCATATGCATATTTGGGATTGGTATGAGGATTTAAGCCCTTTTGTACCCATTTTGAATGATGTTACACAATAAAAAGAAACCTAAAAGACTCCATTTTCATTTCCATGTGATCTTTTATCTGTAATAATGATCTTTGTAGATTTGTTTTCTGTAGACTTTATCTGTAACAAACTTTATAGATTCTGTGAAATGTTCTTTTAATGAAATCACTTGAGTCTTTAATAGGAAACCATCAATATTCACTAAAGTCAATCTCTTATGAGTTTCTGTGACTTGGATGGAAGCTTTTAACACTAACAAATTAGTGTTAACTTTCCCTGGGGATGTTCCACTGGGGCATTACTGTATTATGACATGACTTGATGTTGCCGCATTGACTTTGAGATATACAATATTTGGGGAGTTTTGTTGTTTGGCCTATGTTCTCTTGCATAGTGTGAAACATGTAAAAGCTTGGTTAAATTGTATATAGATAGTTTACTGTTGACTAGTGTATTTAGAATTGCCTGTAATATTTAATCTTCTTACTGAATTGAATGTGTGTGATGGTAGGAACATATAATTTTTGTACATTATATTTACTGAGATGTTGCCTTTTTTATTTTACAAATACTTTGGAATTCAGATGCTTTTTTGCTTCTGTGAGGATTAATTTGGAAAGGTTTTTAAATGACATTCCACTGATTACAGATTTTGCTTGAGATTGACTTCAATAAATTGTTCTGAATGTTCCAAGTTAAGAATTTGGCTTTGTCTTTACTATTAATTCCATGTTATAGTTTCACTGGGAAGTAAAGAAGATATCACGTGGCCCTGAATGTTCTGGCTCTCCAGGCAAGATTTTGGCATGACCCGCAGCAATCCAGAAAAACTGTGAATTAGATTTTCTGAAAAAGAATGCTTAAGTGTAGTGAAAGTAACTCTGGTTGTGAGGCTGGCATGAGCAAGGCAGCTAGACTGGCGGGCATTAGGGCTGGGAAGAACCTCGGTGATGATGTCACCTAACCCCGAATTTCACAGACGACCCGCCTATCTGGCGGGCCTCGGAGTGGGGCTGCAACCCAGGAGGCAAAGACCTCCGCGAGGAAGTGGAAAGAAACCGTGACGATGCCCCGCCCCCAGCTCCACGGCGGCTGCAAATCCTCTCTCCTCTTTATTCGGCCTGGGGGACCATGGACGGGGTTGGGTGATGCTGTTGGCCCTGCCTGCCATTCCCGAAGAGGCGGCCAGGGAGCGCTCGCGCGCTGCCCTCGCAGCTCCTGGCGGGGGCGGGGCCTGCGCCCGCCACGTCAGCGGCGGCGGCGGCGCTTCGGCTCGGTTCCGTGGGGAAGGTGATGGCGGCGGCGGCGGCGGCGGCGGCTCTGGGGGCCGAGGTTGGCGTGAGGATCGCGCTCTTTACCGCCTTTGTGTGAGCCCGAGGGCGGCCAGAGGCGGGGCGGAGGGCGGCCTGGACGCGGAGCCCCTGCCCCTCCCACCGCGGCCCGGCGGGGAGGGGGGTGTGGGGGGCTCCCGAGCCGGGGGCGGGGCCGGGGCGGGGTGGGCTTCCTTCGTCCCTTCCTCACTGGCCCTGGTGTCTCTTCCGCCCTCCCTTCCTTCCTCTAGGGTGATGGAGCTTCTCCCGCCCTTCCAGAGGCTCATCCAACCCGAAGAGATGTGGCTGTACCGCAACCCCTACGTGGAGAACGACCACTTCCCTACCAAGCCTCTGTTTGTGGGTCCCGATCCCGGCCCTGGCCGCCCCGGGCACCCGGGCTGGGACGTGGGGGGAATGGGCCGCGGCCCAAAGTGGGGTCCGACGGCCCTCAAGCCCCTCCCCCTCCCACTTCCCCTCCTTGCCTCCCGAGGACCCCGAGTTTTGCGGTATCCCGGGGCAGGTCCAGGACTCGGGGGGCTTTTTGTGAGTTGATAGGTTGGCCCGGGTTAGAGCTTAGCAGATGGTCATCTTTATATACTTGGGAAATACCAGAAAGTTCTAGTTCGAACCCAGCAAGCAAGAACTTGTGCACAGTGTGATTATCTGGGAGGGGAAACGGGACCCCCGCTGACGTATGGGAAGCTCTGTCCCGGGCAGCCCCCTTACCGTGCCCTTGTCGCAGTAAGCAGCTTTAGTTTTCTTATATTCCCTTCCAGTTGATTGTGTTTCTGTGTCCCCTCTCTCTGATCCTTCTGGTTAAATGTCTTAAGAAAGCAGATGGAGCAGACACCAAGCAGGCGTGCCTGGGTAAGAGGTGTAGTTGTGCCCAGAGTGTCGAGGGGAGGGAGGGAGTGGCTGGAGAGATGAGCTTTGAGAGGCTGTGCCCATGCCTCCGGGCCATCTATTAAGGAAGTCATTTACTAGAGAACCCCACTTGGGTCTGTCCGGGTCAGGGGGACAGTGTGCTAATGGAGTTTACATACTTCTCCTGTGATCCGTGTGATTCAAGTATTACTGTTGTCCTTAGGAAACTAAAGCTAAGGAGAATGATTTGCCCAAAGTGACCAAACCAGCAAATGGTAGAACCAAGACTTGAACCAAGGTTTTTTGACTGAAAATCCAAATGTTTTTCCATTGTGCCACATGCCATGCCACAGATAGAAGGCTTATTTGGGAGCACTGTCTCCAAGATGACTTGTACAGTGTCTTCTAAGCCACCCTATCCTTAGGAAGAAAGATGGTTGTTAACTCCTTTTTGGAGGATTCTGGCTATTTTGAAAGCCATATAGCTCATGTTTTGCCCAAACACTATTCGTACCTTTCCCTGAGGGCAGGCATCACAATGGTACTTTTTCCTTTGTAGCTGCCAGCCTCGCCCTTGCTTTAAATGGAGTCTTCACCAATACAATAAAGCTGATAGTGGGAAGGTAAGGGGTCAGACTCACCCAGACCTTTTATTTGACACAACTGTTGGTGGCATTTGACCACTTCTCACATCTATTAAGCTGTGAATTTATTTCTTCATTCTATCCACATTTTCTCTCTTCTCTTCTTCCCTCCCATCTTTCTTCTTTCCACCATGTATCTTAGACCTATAGTAGTATCTGTGGGTACTACTTAGCCCTGCTGACAGGTTTCCTTTTCTTCATCTGGGAGTGGCTGATGAGGCTACTGAATTGGTGCCAGTCCATCAAGGCAGGTTGTCTGTTTGAAATAAAGATGATTTCATCAGTAAGATTTTGCTTTTTCAATAATGGTGATGCTATGCCTTGATTGTCTAAACTCCCTTGCCTACTCCTACTTAGAAATGACAGCATTTATTTAGAAGACAGCTGACCTGGGTCATTGGTATCGTCAGGTACCATGAAGTAGATCAGGGTTTAACAGTTTTTCTACACAGGACTGAACTCAAATCGGTGACCCTGGCCTCAGGACAATGTTCAAACCAATTCTCTTAACTGACCACCAGTCTCGAGTAGCCCACAGATTTTCTGTTCCTTTTAGGCCTCGCCCTGATTTCTTCTATCGTTGCTTCCCAGATGGACAAGCCAATTCTGAACTGATCTGCACAGGGGATGAGGAGGTGGTCACTGAGGGCCGAAAGAGCTTCCCCAGTGGGCATTCTTCTTGTATGACCATCAAGTGAATTCTTTCCTCATTTTATGTTTGTGATTGAAACACTAAGAAATTAACATCATTGGAGAGTGGGTAGTAGCTAGTGCATTTTTTTAAAATTTGTACTTGAATACCAGCCACCTTGCCTTTTTACCCTAGAACTTCACATACTTTGAGCCCCCTTGAACTTGAGGATAAGAATTGAAAATAGTAAGCGTGATGAATAATGAGTTAGCTCACCAGTTCCTACCAAGATATTTCCGAGGTTGTCTGCATGAAATAGTAGAATCATCATGTGTTTGCAAATAATTTAACATTTCCTGAATTGACTGTACATTTCTTAGGCAGTCAAGTTAGAGCTATTGTTGCCTTTGAGATCATTTATTTTTTATTGCTTCCTTTCCCTAGTCTCTATTCTGTACCACACTTGTGCAGTATGAAGGAAGATATTTATCTAGACTTGGGGTGGAAAGTGAAGGCCAACAGCAACGTTTTGGGGTTGCAAATGATTCCTGGGCTATAGTCTAAAGAGTGTTGAATTAGCTTCTTAGAAGAAGCACTCATGTACTGGCTTTCTCCATTCCAGTTGCATTTGCTGGACTGGCCTTCACCTCCTTCTACCTAGCAGGGAAGTTACACTGCTTTACTCCACAAGGCCGTGGAAAATCCTGGCGGCTCTGTGCCTTCCTATCACCTCTCCTCTTTGCAGCTATCATTGCTCTATCCCGAACCTGTGATTACAAACACCATTGGCAAGGTAAGGTCTTGGGGGTAAAATGTAGCCTTCTCTAAGAGGGGAAAAGAGAGAGACTTGTTTAGGCATTTTCTAGTTTTACTCCTTGAAACTTCTTATATATATAGGGGAGGCACAGTTGCCAAAACTAAAATGATTACGCAAGTTTTCTTTGCAAAGATTTGAAATCAGGAATGGTTCAAGATCACTAATGGTAATAGCAGACTTTTGTATAGAAAAAGGAAATGGCCTCCCAAGAGGCAGTTAATCCCTAAGTGGTAATGTGTTCAATAGAAATCGCCCAGGACTATAAAATGGAGGTAGAAGACTCAAGCTCTAATTCTCAACTGTGATTTTGGGCAGGGTACTTCACCTGCAAATAATACTTCCATTATCTAGATTAATGACGGAAAGTGCTTTGAAAACCATGGTGTAGGGGCAGCTAGGTGGTGCAGTGGATAGAGCACCGGCCCTAAAGT